AATTTTTATTTTCCAAGTGATGAGCCAGTGCTCAAGGCTAGAGAGATATCTCTGAATGATTTGGACCAAGTTTTCAAGGCGTTTGTGTTGAGCTAGGATGGCCGTATCATCTGCATAAAGTGCAAGAGTGATACTAGGTGATTTTGGTATGTCATTTATAAAAATGTTGAACAAAATTGGGCCTAAAAGTGACCCTTGGGGGACGCCGCTGAGTATAGGACGGGGTGCCGAAATGAAAGAATTAACTCGTACAGAAAAAGATCTATTAGTGAGGTACGAATTAATTATATGAATTAAATGGGCCGAAACGTCAAGTCGTATGAGCTTGATAATAATTCCTATATGCCAAGTCCTATCAAATGCTTTGGCTATGTCAAGAAATAAAGCGCCAGTAAGCATTTTGTTACGAAACCCTTCGTGAATGAACTCCACTGTCCTCAGCAGCTGGTGCTTAGTGCAGTGTTTTACTCGAAATCCAAATTGTTCATCGATTAGAACGTTGTGATTTCGGAGAAAATCATTCAGGCGTTTAAGTAACACAAATTCGTATATCTTTGATAACGAAGATAGGAGGCTGATAGGTCTATAATTTTGAGGATTTGAAAGGCTTTGGCCTGGTTTTGGAATAGGCACAATGAGTGCTCGTTTCCAGCTTTGAGGAAAATAGCAATGCTGTATCATAAAATTTATAAGCATTACTAAGAAAAATAGATAACTGGTGGGTAAATTTTCAATCATACGATTAGAAATAGAGTACTGATCACTTTCTTTTGGAACTTTGTGGTTATACTGGCTTTCAGCAGGAAATTAAAGTCCTGCTCTTGCCAGTGCCTGATGTGATCCCATGTGAGGCCTGACAGAGTAGAAACCTGAAAGAAATTTTCTTTCGTGGAGGTAGAAGTGTGCTGGAGACAGAAAAAGAGAAAAAGAAGCACTTTGCTCCTGTACTGCTACATCTTGGATGGAATCCGCCAAGCAGGGGCCGGAGATAGAAACTTCGGATGACCTGTGTAGAAAAGCCCGAATACTAACTGTTCATTCGTCGGAGCCAGTCACGTGGGAGGTCACCCTCCCAGAAACTGACCCCGATCGATGCTGCTTGAAAACCGAAAAACTGGAACTTAGAATTCTGAACTCAAGAGGTGGGCGGCAAATGGGCGGAGGTTTTTGTCTTCAGCCAGGATTTCGTAGATAAGAATGTCCGTGAAATTAGCGGGATTCACATTGATAATGTTATTTAAAAAGTTGTTTATTCTGCTGAGGTAGTCCTGAATAGTATCTATTTTCAAGTCGGAGTGGAGAGTCCTATTCCGAACATAGTAAGGAGCTTTTATGATGATTCTTAGCACTTTATTTTGAAGCACTTGGAGTTTGCTAATTTCGTTTGCTTTGTAGTTTGCCCAGGCTGTGATCACTTTCGAATTCAAAGCCCATTTTTAAAGGCTATTGATAGGTCATTGCGATTAGAGCGCCATCTGTTAACGACTTTCGTAACTAAATTTTCTAAACTTTTGTACACCATTTTTACAGTTTTGCTAATAAACGTACAGTTTACCGCATAATTCTATCGATCTTTATTGTAGAGATATTTAATTTTGAAATCAGGGCTTATTCGCTGATCACCCTGTAAATAGGTATGCTTATAAAGCCAAATATCTTTAACTTAGAAACTACTTAGGATATCTTGAAAAATGAAGCAGAATAACAAATAACCTATGAAGATGAATTTTCAAGTGGCGTAAAAGACGATGAACTTAGATAATTTAAAATTTCAAATAAGTATTCCTGTCGGCATTTTCAAAATTTCATATAACAGAAGTGTATTTCTCGAAAGAAAAATTGACTTGCGACTAACTGATTAGATATAAATTAACTAATTGAAAATATAAGCAAATTTCAAGCCATCAGAAGTGAGATATTTTACTCTTAGTAGGAACAAAAAGTAGAAAGAATGAGAGTTTTAAATTTTTGTTCAATTGGCGGTAGCAGTGTGCTAGTAAAAATTCACATATTTGGCTTATTAGACTTATGTTTTCCAAATATACAAAACAATGGAAAATTGGAGATTTAATCTTAATCTACCAGAGGAAGAACATCATGACCATTGAAGCAGGTTTTTAAGTATATTATATCGTTATTGATAAAAGCTAATCTAGAAAAGTATTACTATTGGTCTCAAAATACATATTCACATATTGTCAATGAAGTGAAAGATTTACAACTGGTATTCAGTCAGACAAAATGGAATAGAAGAGCAATCAATGTACTGTTTTATTTTTAGTGAATAAGAAGTTAAACTTCATATTTTAAGAGCTTCTGAAATCCAGCATGTTGTTCAGTTTAAGGATTAATCTATGTTTTCAACAATGTCGATTTGACCAACTGAACTGCTATTACAGAAGCAATGCAGCATTGGTTTGTTCAACTGAAGACGGATTATCTTCAGCATAATACTTTGTGGCGATCAACTGAACTCAAATAATCTAGTATTTGTGCATTAAGAAATAACAATAACCACATTAAAACATAATTAAAATATAAATTGATTGTACAAAAGTACGTGAGTGCATTACAAAGCATAAAATACAATAATTACGTTTATCGAAGCTATGTGCCTCGATAAAAATCTCTTTAAAGTAGATCTACAATTCTCTACCCTTAACTGAATTTGCATGGTTAAAATGATGTGCTATTTTGGCTCATTGAATTCGGTACTAAAAAATTGAACAAACTGAGCATAAAGGAATGTGAATAGATTCATATCGAAGTTCAATCAAACTCAGTCTATAGCCACATATTAATTGCTCTTTTCAGAGGTCGTAAACTACGCATTCTTTGTTAACGAAATTAAATATAAAGAAGTAATTTATTAAATTTATTACAATACATTGCTATTTTACTTTCAGTTTCAAAAGAAGTTTGGAATGGTGATTTAAGGATAATTTTGTGAATTTAAAGAATTAATAAAACTTACGTTGTTTTTATTATGCTAAACATTTGAGAGCTTTCTATTTAGCATGGGATATGTAGTGGATTTCTTAAGAATGCCTAATAGTAAATTTGGAAAAAATCGAGATGAAAGCTCATCAGTTAGCCTGCTCCACTGTACTTGCAGACAAAACTACAAATATCCTATTGCTTTAACTTCTTGGTCATAGTTGTCTAAATCAGAGATTCCCAACTTTTTTCTTGCATCAATCTCTTTTAAAAGAGTAGTTTTCTATACCGACTCTCTTACGTATTTTTCTAAGATATATAGCATACATCATAATCATAATGCAAATAATTTCATAAAAATAACTTTAAAATAACAATTATGCTAAAACTGTGAATAAATGTTTTAGAAAAAAAATATTTATTAGGTTTATTTATTTTCTTTCTTTTTAAATTTTCTGTACTATCATTATTTTGAATTTTGTAGGCAGAAAAAGTTTCCAGAAGCAAAATCGCAGATTCTAATTGCACAAATGTTCGAGTTTAATTAATGTAATGGCTGTATTTAATGAAATGTTTATAATATTTGGCATAAAACTGCTTAATTCTTAAATCATCTCCTTCAAACATATTCAAACTGTTTCTTGTTTCGTGTGGTAAATTATTGACTTAACAAAAACCTGTTTAGACTACGTAAGAAGACGCACCACAATTTTCTCTCTAAATGCTCTTGACTGTCGCATACGTGTCTGGAGACTGTAAGGTAAGCGGACCAATATGTCATTTGTTACCTAGCGGCACACAGCCAGAACAAAGCATATGACATTCTGGGGAGCGATCAGATGGGATATCCGTTCACCATGACTTGTGCTGCGAGGATACTCTGGCCGCTCAAAGATACGATGGCAACCTATTGAACCTATTGATTTGCAGCCTATTGAACTACCTATGCTAGCAAGTCGTCCAGGTTATTTTTTCTAGCAGAACAACGGTCGTCCACATACTATACGACTTTCCCAACAATGTCTTCGATGTGTTAATGTCATCGACTGGCCTGCCAGTTCTCCCGATCTGCCGCCTATCGAACATGTTTTGCAGGCAAATTGAGCCGTGTACAAATACGTCCCAACTCGCTGACTATTTGCTCCATTTGTGACTCACCACAACGCAGAAATGCAATGGCAACTTAATAGATGCTATGCCCTACCGAGTATCGGCTTGTAATAGCTGCAGGCATGGTTTTACCACTTACTGATTTCCACATGCATTGTCTTGTTACTCGTCGCTTTTTTTTTCACCCCAGTTTTTGATCATTTGTTTATCGACTCAAACACTATACTACTGCCGAGTTTCGTAGTTCCGGCTCAGTTCTTTTTGGGCGCATAATTGTTTTAGCAACAGATATATAAATATGCCCAATCTGAAATTTTGTATGTGCGGCTGCTATAAAATCTAGTTGTGCACCTTCCTTTTTTATTGTAATTGACTGTACCAAACCTATATATATATATTGCCAATCGCAATAAAAAAAATCAAGATGCGCAACTAGATGTTATAGCAGCTCCATGTACAAAGTTTCCTTTCTACGGCTAATCGTCTTTGAGTTATGTAAAATACATACATACATACTTAGGTATGTAAGCACAGACGTCACGAAAAAAATCCATTTTAAATACATTTTACAATCCGTTTGGAAACAAAGAATCCTTTATTCTGTGAGCTCTTCGAGAAGTCAGGCAAACAAATCGTCCAAATGGATTCGAGAACGGTCAAAATGGATATTTCTTTTAAAAATGATGCTCGAAATATTTCGCCTTTACAATACATGCTCTACTTCCTAAGGAAGTGAAAATGTATAATAAAATATTTACTCTAACTTCTTTATTTTGAATTTTGTGTTTATTTTTTCCTATTTCATTTTATAATTTCAGTTATACGTCTAGGAAAAACTTATGTCAGTTAACATATATACATTTTGAGATGGGTGGAATGAACACTATAAAGAAATCTCAGTAAATTTTATGTAAACATCATTTTACTATTATTTTGCAACTTTGTCTTATCAGGTACACCAGCCAAAGTCAACTTGTGGACTCACAGCAGACTAGAAAATATAGGAATGGATGTGCAGTTAGTCTGTCGCGGTGGTGGAGATCCTCAACCTCAAGTCATATGGACTGGGCCGGATAAAAATCCTCTCACAGACCCGCGAAAATATCAAGTGAGTTTCGTGAAATTTCTTCTTTTCATTTATGGAAAATAAATAATTAACTATAAATATGCGACTAACCAGATTTTATACAAAATGGGAAATTAACAACGAGAAAATTTGAAAACACGTCGGTTATAGTTAAGCTAATAGTTCTAAACATCTTATCTGTACTCTATAAATAACTTTTAGACAATGTAGAAACTTTATTCCACGCTAACAAAAAGTTTCTTTCACTCCGGATTTATTTACAGAACAACGAAAAATTCTGTATAAAATTTAATTTGAAAAAAAAATGCAGTTATGGGAAGAATGAAATATTTTTTGACTTACTGCATGCAGCGTTTCTGTGAAGTACTGAAGACTTAATGAGCATAATTTTATTTATATAGACATCCCTACTTTCATTGATTTGCTACTTAGGCACTTCTTGTTTTACCAAAAAATAACTAAAACTGGAAGATTATCCAATCTTTCGACCTGTAGTCACATTTTAATGGAAGTTTTATCCTTCATTTTATGTACTTTCGCATCGATTTAATAGTGAATTTTTGCATGCATTCACAAGTAATATCGAGTACATTATTTACATGTCTCGGTGATCAAAAAACATTTTTTTACGAAACTAAGCAAGGTTTGCAATTTATGAATTTCTAGTTTTTGATTGTGCTATTGTCTACAGCTTGTCAAATAAATGAACAATTTTACTGCTCACGAAGCAGTAAATAACCAAAATTTATAGTTACTAATAAATCATTATTGAAAGTATGAAGATTAAAAAAATTCTACTTCTAAAAAGTTATAAAATCTAAATAAAAGATTTTTAAAAGCGTAAAATAAAATTAAAAATAGGAGAAAACTGGAAAAATATAGAATCCACAAATAATTTGAATCAAATTTAAAATCTAACGATTACCAAGGCTTCGATAGATTCAGAAAAAGAGGAAATGCTCTCAGAATGACTCAAGAATGCATATTGTATAGAGTCAAAGCCCTGTACTGATCTTCCCTCCTTTTTATTTCCTTCCTCCTTTTTGAAAAGTTTTTCTACATGGTACTATTAATATAATGGTTTTGAAAAGAAGTGACTTGCCATTGATCAATAACACAGAACTTAAAAGCAACCAACGAGTAGTTATAAACATCAAAATATCTTCCCTGAATTCTATAAATAACTTCTTGAGAATACAGAAATTCAATTCCACATTAACAAAGAATTTCTTTCTCTCCGAATTCTGAACAATAAATATTTCTTTACAAACTTAAATTGCTTATTTGAAAGAAATCAGTTATGAAAAGAAATGTAATAACTTTTTGATTTACTGCATTTAGCGTTTCTGTGAAGAACTGCGTTTTCGGCTCAAATTTTCTATGGTAAGGGTATTAATATAAATTTAGCTTCTGTAATATTCTAAAATAGGCGCATTGTTGTGAGTGCATTCAATTCATTCAACTCATTCTGATCGTGCATTTACATGTTTGGTATGCCCTTTTTAGAGAAAAGATATGCAGTTAATTTCCCGATTTTTATTGAAATTTTCCAAAAAGAGCCAGGTCTATAAAAGCTGTAGGTTATTTTTATGATATTGTAATAGCTGTAATGATATCAGAGTGTGTGATAGGATCACTTTGACATCAGGCGTATAATAGAAAAATGGCGTGTAGTGGCATTTGATACTGAATAAGATAAGTCCTGATAATGAAACATTGGCTTGAGGGCCGGAATAGAGCTATGGGCTGAATATGTGTATCTAACAGGATAAACAGTTCTTTCTCTCGTTCAGAAACGAATCATGTTTGCAAAACTGATGGAAAACCCAAACTTTTAAGGAATTTGGGTATCAAAGCATTCAAGCGGATGTTATTGAAAGATCTCCCTGCATCCAGAAAGGTTGCAACATCAAATTTCTTTTCTTTTATATCTAAGCAAAGAGAAGATGAAATAAAAAATTTTCAGTTATGCGAAGAGTGTTCGAATGTTTAAATTCTCAGATAGGGTTAAAATACGCGAATAAAAACAAATTGAAAGACATGAATTAGAGTAATGAAATGGGGGGAAAGCAAAATTCTCTTGGATGATTTCTTAAATTTTTGGAGAAGGAGGAGATGGTTTCTTAAAAGATTTTCAGCTACGAAGTAGATGGTCAAAACCCATTCAAGAAGAGTATGATATAAAGCTAATTCGGAAAACTAAAATACAGGGCATTGTTTGTTGTCTTAAATAGAGAGCAAGGAAACCGTTTCGGTAGACCCTCTGTATCTCTCTAAAGATACCGAAATTGTCAATAAAGTGAGAATTAAAATGTTTAATGTTAGAATTATATTATTATATCGAAGTGATTATACCTGTAAGTCTAAAGGGCAAAACACAGAGTTTCTAGCACTTAGTACCTGAATTGAAGAGATCCTAAATTAGCACTGTAAACCCTGATCTATTTTTCTCTCGTTTCATTATATAAGATTATATAAGATTCATTAAAAATAAGAAATATTACCATTCAGTGTTTTTACAAGAAAACGTACAAGGAACATACCTAACAATCTACAGGCGTGTAATCTTGAGTTAATTAAGAATAAGAAAATAAGAGGTGTTACGAAGAGAATCCCTTAACTTTCAAAATTTTTCCTTCAACTTCTCCTTTCTTCAAGCAACGACTTTTAAAATAATACATAAAAATTGTACTGATAATACTTGTTATGAATACCTTATCTAATTTCTTATATTCTGAATGTTTAGCTTCTGGAGAATGGAGACTTGATCATCCGAGAAATCGAATGGTCCGATATGGGTGGTTACATGTGCCATGTTACAAACTCTGAAGGTTCAGACGAAGCTTTGGTGTTCCTCTACCCAGTATTGGTAATGTATTCCATCTTTTTCTTTGAGTCAGAAGTAAACAAATACTACCATGAATCTAAATTCAAAAGAGTTTCAAAAAGTTAGAAAATTCCTATTATCATTTGAAACTCGAAAATAGTTCAAAAGGTCAAGCTATAAAGTATTTTCTCCCTCCTTTCCGCGTGCCTTCGTGGTGTAACTGGACATCCCGTTCGCCTAGCAATCAGAGCTCCGGTACTGGAATGTCGCTGAGAATATTGCGGATCTCTTCAGTTTCCTGCATCCATAAAACTAATAGCCCTAAAAAATAGCTTCCGAACTAAAGCGCCCGAACAAAAAAGCTGGTGGACGATAATAAATCACCACGAGGATTTGACGGTTTGATCCCCTCATCCTCAGTTACTGTTTAAAACGGAGAGTATATAAGGTGTTTTCTCTCTCCTTTCTACGTGTCTTCGGGGTGTAACTGCATAGCACGTCCGGCTAGCAGTTGAGAGATCCTATGTTCGAATCCCGGTAAGGGCACTGCACATTTTTAACTTGTCCTGCATCGATAACCGTAATGACTCTAAAAAGCAATGAGTCAAAAAGTGATAAGTGTAAAATATTGAAGTTAATAATGCAGTGACTGGCGTCCACAATCCTACTCAATTATGTTAAGGATGATCTGTTTCCATGCGCTAAGTGCGAAAGCTAGCTTTCAAAAGTCTTGGAAAAACTGGAAAATCAAATTAATTAAGCATGAACAAAAATTACAGAAAATTAGCAACTGAGCTGCAGCAGAGTAGCTGTTTTTTCAGCAATTGAATTTAAAATGCAAAATATTGTAGAAACACAAATTTTAGAAAAATGTGTATGTTAAAATAAGAAAATAAAATATTTCAGAAACCTAGACACAATGGATAAAAATGCTACGGGGATAATGTTGAAAGAAATTAACATGTTAATTCGATAAACTTTATATGTGGCTTTAGAAAGCTGGATTCCGAAGCTGGACGTACAAATTGCTCTATCCATTTAGTTGTCCGGAGCCAGTAATTAGCTGTCTATATTTATGCTTATCTAAAAGATGCATAATTTGACCATCACCACCGTGGTGTGACCAGGTGCATCTTTTGGCCTTCTCTGTTATGCTTGGGTCCGAACATGTACCAGTCAAGTGAAGCCTTGTCTCACTAAAACAGTACTACTTTGGTTTTAAGGTGCCACTATAAAAACCCGGGCCACGACTGGGAGGTCAAAATCAAAACTTTTTCTCTGTGTTTCACTTTCCAACATGAACTATCAGAAGCCGATAACCAGTTCCACATCATGTATATTTGACAATAAGGTTCAGTCAATCTTACATTGTGAAAAAAATTCGTAAACAATGATGCCTTTTGAATCATCAGAGCAAATCAGCACTATCTTTATTCAAAGCATTCGGAAAAATAATTTTAATTTCAAATCATGTAGATTTCCATGATGCATTCTAGTGTTTAGTTTCCATGTAATATTTGGAAGACAGTGTACCATCACAGCTGGCGACAGTATCAAAGAATTTCGAATCTTGTTTTGATATTGCATGTCTTTGCAGAATTCAACGCCTGTCTTTTTTAATTGCTTGACAAGATATGAGTTTTAAATATTCTTTTTTTATGAAACCTTGGCAAATACAGCATGCATTATAATGTTTATTATGACATATTCTTCAGTAAACAGTCGCCTTCTGCATTTTGGATAGATAGCAATATCTTCGCCTTATTTATTTATTTCCTGATATTTTCATCGGTAGTCGCAGTTTTCGGACAATCGACATTTGAATCCTTTTCTTTAATGTCTTCGTCTCAGAAACGAAAGCACATTCGTAGACGCGAGATTTGGACTTCATAATAATTCTGATGAACGGCTTTAAGGTAGAATATATGATCTAAAAATAGTAATGTTAGATTGTAAGACCTATCTCTGTTATTCCACATAAACTAAATTAGATCCTACAATGAACCTGGCAAATTCTATCACATGCGTGAATAAATTACCAGCACAGAAGAAAAGGTGGAAAATAACCCTTTATTAATTCAAACTAATTTAACAGAAAGGCACGGACTTCTTGCGTTACAAAAACACCGTTCACTTGCAGTGGTAACCAAACGTAGACTATAATACAAGTCAAATCTAAAAATAAATAGTGCAAAAACGCACTTCAATTTACGCTTAATAAGAGATGGACTTACAGAAATCTAACCGGCGTGATACTAAACTGATAAGGCCAAGAGGCTTACTAGCGTGACCGCGAAATAGCAACGAAACGTGCGCTTGGCTAGCGAAACACGCTCTGAATAAACTGAGATAAACACACGTTTAAATAGCCCTTAACTTTAAATTTACATCCTGGCGAGAGAATGTGAGGGGACGTTGAGCAGTTTAGAACAGGAAAACTTAAATTTGTTATGCAAAATAAGGAAAACCCTACAATATCAGCTCTAAGTTCAGTTACATTAAACTTATTTCACAAATTCTATTTTATAACTACATAAATGAAATCTAAAATATGAGGAAAAACTTTTCTGGCATGTTCTCATTAGAAAACACTCACATCTAGCGGCTATACATTCTAAATTTCCATCGTACAATGCTGTATTTAAAATAATAAAAAATTTACATAGAATATCAGCTTTTCTTCTGAATAGCGGCTGCCTTTTATAATCCTTGTTTTTGAAAGCCGCTGTGATTTTCTTTTAGGGAATATTGAAAACAATGCGCAAAGTGATATCGTTAAACTCAAACTGAGTGTACTCACTCATTTAATTTAATTGTTTGTCTTTACATTCCAGCGTCCCACCGTGGCCACATTTGCAGTTTTAACGTCAGCTTTACTACTCTCTTCGTGTTCTTTCACTGAATCCTTGTGTGTCACTTCATAAAGAAAGAAGGCTAAGAAATTCCACAGTTTCAATTGTTCTTGTCTTTATCATTCACGATATTTCTTTTTTCTACCCTACTTTATAATTTCAAGCACCAAAATAGTTCTTAGTGAGACCTGATACTGTTGCTTCTTCATTGACAAAGTCTTCTAAACGTTACGATATCAGAAAGCAGTAGTCTTACTGCCTATGAATTAGAGTTAAAAGTTTAATTACATTGCATTGCTTAACAACGAAATTCAGAGCAATTGTCTTTGTCTGTCACAGCAATTATCTCAGAATGTGATTTTCTTCTAAAACATCAAAACTTTCCCATCAGATTCTAATACTGATCTGATATAGATTTTTGGAGGACTATGGGTTTATAATAGGAACTTGGCAATAGTAAGATCAGGGCACTTTGTTCTGCGCAATTAAAATACATACTTGCTATGTATTTCTTTTCTTTATAGAAATGTGATAATCCCGACTATTCTTTGTTTGAGTGTTTCTTCAAGCGGGCGATCACAATCATATGTTTCCATCATTTGAATATTAGATGATAAATGTGCGTTAATTGACTGTCACTTCACCAGCATTTCAATACATCAGTTCTACTCTGTTATAGAGACATTAGGTATTCTGGAAGCAGGAGATGTGAAAAATGAGCAACACCTTCGCCGGGAATCGAACCATGGACCTCTGGAAATACGAACCAACGTGCAGACCACTACACCACGAAGGCACGTTAAGAAGGCGGGAGAAATACCTTATACTATAATGAGGATTATTTATGCACTGTTGTTTGCTTTTTCGGGATAGTTAAGTTCAGTTACAAGCACATAATGTTTACTTTAAAACAGATGCGTGATTTTAATATTTGCGCTAAGGTTTCACTTTGTCATCTTGCTTCCTTGGGGAAAACAAGATGAAGCAAATGTTTTCAAAGCAACAATACATAAAAACGTTCTTTAATATATAAGATCGTTGAATATATAATAAACTTAATTTTCTAAAATCTAGGCTTTCATCCATGTCTTTTGATGAGCATAGGTAATAGCAGTTATGGATAGGTAGTTATTAAATTGTTAGAAAAGAGATCATTTAGATATCCCTCTAGCTAAATTCGATTCTTACATTCATCATAATTTAATTAATATACGGGAAACTGCGCTAATGCATAAATGGTGAATTCATGATTGCCAGGTTTAACTTGTAAATTTTGTAACTTAAGAAAAGTGCTAATAAATAACATGCTTGGTTTATGGACGCTGTCTCTAAAATATTACATGTATGTTCATATGTATAATATTATGCATCGGATACTAAAAATGATCAAATCGTAATAGGAGAAAAAGAGAAAATTTCAATGTGAACATTACTAAATTGTTTTTATTAAAACATTTTATTATTATTGTACATTTCTAGTTCACATAACTGTCAAGAAAAGATTCCATTTACTTTTTTCTGTTTACTTTTTCTCTACCCACCAAAACAATTTTATTTTGTTAAACAGCTTATTTTCTATTTTTACTTGTTTTAAAGTTGACTATTTGTTTTTAGTTAATTTTTTAAATCAAATTCTTCCCCCCCCCCCAAAGAAAGCTTTTTTCTTATTATTTTTACTCTTTTTCTTCCCTTCTCTATATATTCCAGTAGTCAGAAGTACTTCAAGATTCTTATGCACGTAATAACCTAATTCAACTTATACTTTTGCAGCCCGAGGAGAAAAGTGTTGCAAAAGAATAGAAGTCTACAGCATTCTGCATAGTTCCTAGGATCACCTTCTAAAATGTCATCATGTGCTCATATAATTTGGACTCATGAAAATTCCCATGCTTTTCTCACACTGAAAACAATGATTACAGAGTTAACCTTGATTTGAAGCTACTTCATTTTACCTAATTTTTTTTTGCTTAATGTATGGAACTTTGTAATTAACTAGTCAATGAATGGAATTTCTTTCTCTTTCGTATGTCGTTGTCTCATACCTTAAGGTATGATCTGAATGTGTTTGAAATAAAGAATAGAGCGAAAATACACATTCTAATGATCATATTTTAATTGTTTTGAAGGCCCTCATAAGAACTTTAGATTCTTACCTAACATTCATGCATGACTTTTTTACTTAGTTACTGTTTTCATCTCTTGTTGTTAAAGCATGTGCCAAGACATTGCATACTATGAGTGGATTGAATGTCTTTTTTATTAATAAAATATTTCGCTTGTGATTTACATATATTAAAGCTTTAAATTCAGTTTATGTTTGTGTCCTTGATTGATTTAATGTAGTATGTAATTTTTAGTAAGAATTATCAAATGATAATAATCATTCATAGTGCAGTACAACTAATAATAAATAGTAGTACAATACTGAAAGAAAAATGAAGACTTATCAGTTCAAAGTTTTATTGTTTTTAAATAATCTAAACAATGATTTAGAAGCAATAAAAATTCTTATGTAAAACTAGCACTACTCCAGAGAACTGTAACAACTTAACTCTTATCAACACAGCATAAAAATAATTATTTAATAATACTCACTGGTGACCTTTATCATTTTTCTTTGACAAAATATATATTTAATTATTGATTTTTACTTATTAGAAATTTAATTTAGGAAATACTAGGAGCAGAATTTATGAAGAAGTAAGCCATATAACGTTACATTTAAATATACGAAAGCATGGAACCTGTGACAGGAAATAAATTGCCTTTTTCCGGTATTCATTTATTTGTCATAGGTGAAATCGTCCACGAAACCACTGACTTCACGCCAGTTAAGTCATTTCTAACTAAATATAAATATCTTAATGCAGCCGCTGATTTTTTAAATAACTTTATAAAAGCAGAATATACGCGCTGCTGCACTGTACTTTTATAATGTTATAACAAAAACTAAAAATGAGCGTATATGAAAGAATTTTTACGATACTCTTGATTAAGCACATTGTGCATAATCAGTTATAGTCATTATATCCCACCCAGTTCAAGACTAGGACAATCATTTATCACAAATTCGAGGTCTGTGACATTACCATAATATTCCAAAATCGTAATTAGTAAATCTTCGCTCATATCGGAAGCTTATGATAGTATTACGTAGATGGTTTTTGGAAAACATTTTCATTTACTCTTCAAGGACACGTTACTTTAAAAATATAACCAACAATTTTCGCATTTTGAAAATTTAAAAAAAGTTTTGGTTATGATTTTACCCTTTTCAACATTTTAACAAGATCTCTACAGTTCTACAACACTATAATTCAGTTAATGGTTGCCTAAATGAATGATTTTTTCCCTAATTGCCTCAAACTAAGATTTTTAAGAATATAAGTACATTATACAGATATGGATTGCAAAAAGATTTTAAAACATGAAATAAATATCCCCATCAGAAGGAATACTAAAAGGAATATAACTTAAATATGTGTAACCAATTTTTACTACATACGTAGTACTTATTAGAAGGAAGGAGAAACAAAAATAGAATGAGAGCAGCTTTATTATGAGAACTGAGACTTTCGTAATGCAATAGATTGACCAAGGACTATGACACTGAAAACTCCTAATCTAGTAATATCTGCTTTACTGGACAATAAATATGAAGAGGAGAATAAACTCCTGTTTCCATTAAAGTTTTAAAGTAATAATAAATTTTTAATATTTTCTGACACAAGGAAACAGGACGAGAAAACCTGGGCGAGTTTACAACCCGGAAACACAATATAAAAAGATTTTATCAATGTCAATGAAATCAATAAAATAACTCGTTACAGTATTTATTACAACAGCTTTTAAATATTCAGAAAGAAGGGAAGCTTCAATTAAATTAAGGGATCAGTCTTAATTAAGGGAAGCTTCATTTGTTTCTTTTCATTTATCCTTAGGTATAGTTAACAGCACTCAAAAAGCTTAAACCTGCTATCGTTCCTCAATGAGCAGGAATTCCAGGCTGAAATGCTAAATACACTAATATTAAAATTCCATTTCTTGAGATGTAGACAGTTTTGTATCACATTGACTTCAAGATATTTTATGTTAAATTGTATCTGTCCGCTTAGTGTCTGCTTTCGACTTATGTACTTTTCTATTATTCTTAATTTCTGTAAGAATTTATTATAGGTTAACTCATTACGGGTACTAATTCAGAAGTCAAACAACAAAAATCAGCGTTATATTTTCAAAATTTTTTCTGGTCACACATAACACATCCAACTTCAGTACTACGGTTTACCGTAAACCTTCATCGGTTTGCCTGCCCCCACAATTTAAATCATGTCATCCGACTAAACAAAAGTTAGCTTCATTTTATTCCTATAATTTCCGTGCTCTTCAAGTTTGCTCCTCCGAACTAGCCCTTGATGAAGAACTAAATATTTAAAGGCAATAGCTATTGACAGGGGCTTTTCACCCAACATTATTAATCAAGCAGTTAAAAAATTCTCATTTCAACACACTAAAAGGCACACTCTTGTTTTAGGAGATTATAAAAATTCTGTTGTCATTCCCTTCTTTCCATCAATTAGCTATAAAGTTGTACATAAGAATTTTGCAGAAATTTAACTTTATTTGGTCGTTTATTTGGTTGTTTTATTCTCCCATCAATAAAATTCCGAGTTCCATACTCAAGGTCCCCATTCCGGATATGAATTCTTGGGGTATTTATAGGATTCCTTGCCAGTGTGGTTTAATTTACATTGGCTAATCTAAGAGAGCCTTAAAATTTCGCGTCAAGGAACATGAGGCATATGTTAGAAAAAAGGACACAGAAGTCTTCTGTTGCTCAATATTGTTGGTCCGAAAATCACACTTTCAATTTTGCTGCTGCCAAAATTATTCAAAAAACATCTTCCATTGGGAAACTGGATTTTCTAGAGACATTTCACATTCAAAAAAAATCTTTCTGTTCTAGTTAACGATCCTAATTCCAATCCATCTTTGCCTTTGGCCTTTAAAGAAATTATGTTTTAGTTCTGGTTTCACCAACAGATGGCGCCACTTGCTTATTCTTGCCCAGGCTTTCTTGTGTTATCTAATCACTATTTCTTATCTTGTTCATTTGCGGTTTTGCAGCTGAGGATGGTGGTTCGGTAAAACCATCGAAACTAGTCTTGTGAAAATTTTGAAAATATAACGCTGATTTCTGTTGTTTGACTTCTGAATTAGTATTTATTCGGCGTGTTATTGCGTCTTAATATATTGAATGTTTGACAATGGTATTTTTATTTCATATTTTGTAAAACATACAAACTTTTTATTAACAAACTCTACGATCTGAAAGTCAGCAGTGGCAACACTTCGAAATAAAGCATATTTTTGTATCTCAGCGTGCGAGATTGTTGGTTAAAGAATTCGTTTAAATATTATTACCTTGCTCGATGCTATGTTTTGCAGAACTCCAGGCATGTCGCACAGAACGCTTAAATTCCGGAAAATCCAGGGTGAGAAATATTGCAACTGCCATAGTGATCACGGAAACTCGTACCGCTATATAAATTACTATCGCTTATAAATCTGTTACCTAACCGTTCTTTGAAACCAAGTGTATAGGTCTATTTTGTCTCTTATTATAGTCAGCTAAATGCTCATGTTTCATCAATAGTCGCAGGACATTTCTATCTCCGACTAATTTATTCCGATAAATGGTTTAACATGTTTCGCATTCAACCATGTGTCTAGACAAAAGATGAACCTTCTGATTTTAGTTCCAAGATTTAAATGTTTGCTAATTATTTTGTCTACTATTAAATAAAGAGGTACTTAAATGCATTGTGATTGTATTGAAATTGAATTTTCTTCTAGACAAGTATGAAATTGCTTTAAAAGCTATGTATGTACATGTATTTTACACATGCAATCGTTCGTTATTTTCTTTCCCTGTAAAAGCAGTACTGTTTATTTTTATTCTTAGATTATGCAATTAAAATTCAGAAATATTAATGAAATTAATGGTAAGTTTATTCGGTCTTATCTTAAAAATATTCAAACCTCAAAGGATCGAGCTATCAGAAGATAAATATCAAAGCTTATTCGAAACAAAAGTAAAATCTTTTATGTAAACAGTGTTTATCATATCTGGGATACTTTATCTTTGTTTTACATGAAAGACAAGGAACAAAATGTAATGCAATTTTTAAAAATCTATCCCTCATGTTTATGGAGAGGTTAATATGCTTTTCTGGTGATAATTGTTTGAGAAAAAATGTTTGTTTTAGCAATGCGGGTATGAAAAAAATCTCATCTGTGAAAATTTTGAAAATATAACGCTGATTTTTGTTGTTTGATTTCTTAATTAATATTTATTCGGCGTGTTATTGTATCTTCATTACAGGTATTTTCTGTGTTAAATATCCATAGAATTGGTTTTTTTCTGTGTAACTACCGTTTAAAGTTTTAATTTTAATGGTGCTATCTGTCCAGAAAAATGCTTTAAAAACCTCTAGTTTTAGTGCACTTAAGACTCTACTCATCAATTTAACTAATAGGACAACAGCACAAAGTTCGAGACGCGGTATAGATATACACGTTAGAGGCGCTACCCTAGATTTACTAATGAGAAGTTCAACTTCAGATTCACCATACGAATTGATTGATTTCACATAGATGAACACTAGATGACTTCACATAGATGACTTGATTTCACATAGATTGATTTCACATAGATGACTGACTACATGCCACTTCCGAAGCATCAGCAAATCCGTGTAACTCCACACTCACAGACTATTCATTCAGAACCCATCTTTGGATCCTGATAAAGTTTACAGCCTTTAATTTTACGGCCCCTAGGGAAGCTTTTCCACTCAGCATTTTCCTTTAAAGGAAGAGTGTCACACCAATTTAATTTTAACAATCATAAATTTTGTAAAAACACTTTAGGCCTTGTAACGATTGGGCTTAAGACCTAAGGGATCAAATGTTCTTGCTATTGAAGATAATACAGCTCGTTTGGTATATACTTCACTTTGATCTATAAACAAAATTAAACCCAAAACAATCTGCTAGTGGTTTCCAAAGTTTACCTGAGGTTTTAGTATCATTGGTGAATGAATAATCAGATTCCGTAATAGCATCACGTATAAGAATATGATTATTCGCTGACCATCTGGTGAAGCTCCTTATCTCCTCTATCTAACAAAGATATAAGCTGTTGTTGAATGTCCTTAGCCTTATCTAGACTATTAGCTCCTGTTAGGATGTCGCCCAAGTAGACATCTTGTAACAACACCGAAGATGCTAGTGGAAAGTCATTTCCCTTAT